ACGCGCGCGCATCAAATCCGTCATGTTTGTAGACGTGCACACATCTGCTTTTAGCATTGCAGATCATTGTTTGGAGGGTTGTTTCTTCAACAGTTTAAGGCATTTCTTTTAACGAGCGATTTCAAACTTGGGATCCCCAGCGCGCAATTTGCCATTACACGAACTCACTGGGATCTTTCGATACTCATAGGGTGTTAACCGCTTTGCCAAGTCAGAACACCCGGGCCACTTGCGCGCGCGCGTCGGAAACGTTAAGCCACCATCGCGCGCCCACGAATTGTCAAATCGCACCATGCGGGCCACGCGCGCGCGTTCCCGCGCGCGCACGCCAAGACCGCGTCAGGACGGTTTGATTTGTTCGGGCGCGCACTTTCTCATCATCCTCATCAGCGCAAACGTCATCGCCGTCGTCAGCGTCATCCTTGCCACCGTCATCACCATTATCATCAGCATTATCATCGCCATCGTCGGGATCTTCACCGCCTCCGTCATCGTCGGCGTCGTCGACGTCGCCGCCGTTGTCGACGCGTAACGATATCGCGCCCGCCCAGGTCACCGACCTAGACGGAAAATGCCCGCGCGCCAGCGCGACCTTTGATGCGCAGTGGGAAGTTCCCATCGGCAAGCGCCGTCGCGGCCGCGTCATTTGCGCTGGGCCAGCTGGCCGCTGTGCGCGCGAGCGGGCGCGAGCCAGCGCAGCCCACGGTCTCGCGCCCGCCTGAGCCACCTGGGGCGAAATGCCGCGCGCCAGCGCGGCCGTTTTTATATGCGCTTGGAAACTCCCATCGGTAGTCGCCTCCGCGGCCTCATCATTTGCGCAAAACCTGTTGCCCATCTTCACGTAATCGGGCGCCGGCCAGCGCGGCCGAAAAGGTTCGCAACCAATTGCCAATCGGCAGCCGCAATCGCAGCCGAACGGGTTTTGCCAACCAGGTTGCGGGTAAGAGGGTGGGACACTACAGTGCACGTGCGGTTCTGGTTCATCAAGTATTCTCCATGTGAGCTCGCACCATCTCAGCCAACTGGGTACCAGCACCCCGCCCCTTCCCGCACGTCGTCCTTGTCAGATTATTCTTGGTAGTAGTATCAGTATGATCAATCATATCCTTAATACTACCACTTATAATAATATGAGCGACCACTCGTTTGTTTCAAGATGTCCTGTTTCAATAATCCCTGGCCACAGGTGTCACCATAATATACACACGCACATGTCCACACAATACCAGTAATGATGCAAACGCTTAAACATATAAGAAAGAGCGCGTGCTGTGGGCGCTTGGAGGGACGTTCGGAACCTGGCCACCCTCCCTCCCCATGGTTCAAGCGGGGGGGAGCCGAATCCCCTTTTTTGGGGCCAGCGCCGGCGCCGGCGTTGGCTGGCGGTGGCGGTGGGGAACGTCGACAAAGATGATGATTCAAAGGGGGGGAGGGGGGTTCGAACCCCCACCCCTCCGGGTTAACGCCAGAGCCAGCGCCGGCTGGCGGCGGCGGCGGGGAGCGTCGGCGACGGCGACGACGAGGACGACGACGACGACGAGGACGACGACGACGACGACGACGACGACGACGACGACGACGACCCACGGCGACGACGACGACGTCGGCGACGACGACGGCGACGAGCACGACGCCGACGACGATCACGACGACGGCGACGATGACGACGACGGCGACGACGATGACGACGACGACGACGACGACGACGACGATGGTAGCGACGACGACGACGACGACGACGACGACGGCGACGACGACGGCGGCCGTGGCGACGGCGACGACGACGACGACGACGACGGCGATGACGGCGACGACGACGACGACGGCGACGACGGTGACCACGACGACGACGACGACGACGACGACGGCACCGATTGTGGTCACGGCGACCACGACAACGACGACGAGCATGACGACTACGACGATGACAACGACGACGGCGACGACGGCGAGCACGACGACGACGACGACGACGACAACGGCGACGACGGCGACGACGACGACGACGACGGCGACTACGACCACGACGACAACGACGACGACGACGACGACGACGGCGACGACGACGGCGGCGACGATGACGACGACGACGAGCACGACGACGACAATGGTGACGACGACGACGAAGACGATGACGACGACGCCGACGACGGCGACGGCAAGGGCGACGACGACAGCGACGACGACAACAGCGGCGACAGCGACGACGGCGACGACGACGACGACGACCAATGGCGACGACGACTACGATGAGCACGAGGACGACGACGGCGACGACGACGACGACGACGACGACGATGACGACGACGACGACGTGACGACGACGACGTTGACGACGGTGGCGACGACGACGACAACTGCGACGTCGACGACGACGAAGACGACGACGACGACGACGGCGACGACGACGACGACGACGAGCATGGCGACGATGACGACCACGACGACCACGACGAAGACGACGACGATGACGACGGTGACGACGACGACGACGACGACTGCGACCGCGACCACAACGACTACGAGCATGATGACGAGCATGTTGACGACGACGACGACAACGACGGCGATGACGGCGTCGGTGACGATGAGAACGACAATGACGAAGACGACGGCGGCGACGACGACGAGGACGACGACGACGGCCAGCGCCGACGGCGTCGCCGCCATCGGCGCTGCCGGTAGCTGCCGCACCGGCGCAGGAGGGGGGGGGGTCGAACCTCTCCCCTTGGAAGGTGGGAGGAGAGGGTTTCGGAGGGGGGGGGGAGGGGAGAGGGGAGTCCCCCTGGCTCTGCTCGACGGCGCCGAAGGTTCGGGGAAGGGTGCCCCCCGGTTCCAAACGCGCCGCCGCATGTTTCCAAGGCGAGCGCCCGCGAAGCGCGCTCCCTCACATGCGAAGGAAGAGCCCCGCAGGTTTCCCGCAACAGATGCTGCAGCTTTCGTGCCGGCGCGCATTTCTGGAGATCCCAGGGAAACCATCTGATTGCGGCAGTTCTGTCCAGAACCCGCACTCCCACCTCACCACGCCGTGCATCCGCGTTGATCTAGAATCAGAGCGTGAATTACCTACCCCGCTTTCGCTTCCAGGCAAAACCAAGCCATACCACGCGCCTCCTCGTCAAGCGGCCTGACCAGTACAGGCTGCAATTTGGCATCGTTTGGTATCTCTTGGAAGCGAGGGTGGTCAAAAGCGAGGTAGGCTTGTTTTCCCCCTATAGAATGCGCACCAGCGCGCGAATCCCGACCAAATAGTACCGTGCGGGCCACGCGCGCGCGCGCCGCCACGTGCGCGTGTCGAGATCCGTCCAACACCGTTGGTTCCCGATGCGCTTCAAGAGAGAGCTCTTGAGACATCCCTGACACCCAGTGCTTTTCAATTGGCAAACCTGGCATCGCTCGGACGTGTGCATTTTTTCTCGGCGAGGGCCATCGAGGAGCATCCTTGATCGTTTGGCGAGAAAACCACGCACGAAACCGAAAATTATCCCAGCGCGACCCTACCTAGGAGTTGGAGCCCCTAGGAAAGCAGCATTAGTAGTAACAGTAAAGCTAAGCTAAAGCTAAGCTAAAGCTAAGTCAAAGCTAAAGCTAAGCTAAAGCTAAGCTACAGCTACGCTAAAGCTAAGCTAAAGCTAAGCTAAACTAAGCTAAAGCTAAGCTAAAGCTAAGCTACAGCTACGCTAAAGCTAAGCTAAAGCTAAGCCAAAGCAAAGCTAAGCTAAAGCTAAGCTAAAGCTACGCTAAAGTTAAGCTAAAGCTGAGCTAAAGCTAAGCTAAAGCTAAGCTAAAGCTAAGCTAAAGGTAAGCTGCAGGTAAGCTAAAGCTAAGCTAACTATAAGCTAAAGTTAAGCTAAAGCTAAGCTAAAGCTAAGCTAAACTAAGCTAAGCTAAGCTAAAGCTAAGCTAAACATAAGCTAAAGATGAGCTAAAGCTGAGCTAAAGTTGCCGTTCTCGACGACATCATGATACCGCCCGCCCGAGTCACCGACCGCATTGAAGCGCCCGCGTGCCAGCGCGTCACTGTGAGACGTGCTGGGCAGATCCCATCGGTATGTGACGTCGTGGCCGCGTCGGCTGTGCCAAACCAGATGGCCATTCTGCGCGCCAGCTTGCGCACGCCAGCGCAGCCGCAGAGATGCGCCATCCAGTGCCAAGTAGTTAGTGCAATCGTGGTCGCATGGGTTGTGCAAAACAAGTTGCGTGTGGGCGGGTGGGATGGTTGCGTGAGCAGTGGTGTTGGCGATTTTCAGTTTTGCAAGGGGGACATCGCCCCCAGGAGGTTGAACCCCATAGGTTCCGCCCCATCGAGTGTGCCCCACAGGTTGCACATAATCACTGCTTGGAGCCCACATGCCAGCATCACTCCGTTATGTTCTCCCTCACCGTAACACTCTGTGTTGCGAGGTGCATCATTCTGGCCCGAGCCCCCATGGAGAATTTCGTATGCCCAGAGTGCAAGAACGTCGTTGCCGCGGACAGGAGGGAGGCCCACAAGACCTTGTGGTGCCCAGCGCTTCCCCAGAGTGACAGCGGGGAGGAGGAGAACCCCGAGCGCGGCCTGGCGCGCATGGGCGGCGCCCGTGCCGACCTGAGCCCTCTCTGCCAGGAGTCGGGGGTGGACAGACCTCCTACCCTGACACGTCGATTCAGGAATTGGCCGTTTTCGGTTCGCGAGAGGGCGTCGCGACCGTCATTTTTGCGGGTCCGGGTCCGTCGGTTTCGGTCCCAGGCCGTTTTTATTAAGGGGTTTACTAAAGGGAGGTTTGTCCACCGCCGAAGGTTAGGTTTGTTCCAACCTACTTTAGCCAAAATCACCACAAAGAATTTCGAGCGCCAGAAAAGTGCCCCAAACTCTAGGGTTTTCGCGTGTCGGGCCCTGGGAGACATTGTTTCGATACTGTTTCGACACTATTTCGGCACCCGTTCGACACGTATCCGGGTGCTCGAAATTATTTCTGGGATGTGGCCCTTAAGTACGATGGGAGCAACATAAGCCGAAGGAGGTGATCTCGGTCGCCTTCGGCTCTCGGCCGGAGCTCCGCTTCGAGCTTGAGCAGGCGGACATCTTCTCGGGGGGCGCAGGCGAGACCACCTCATCGACCCTGGCCAGGCCCATCCTAGGCGCAGGGTTGCTTCAGGAGGGAAAAAGACACACAGACACAATTAATCGTTGATTCCCCCGGAATATTGGACAATCCGCCGATCCGGCGTGTGAGTTTCAAGGAGTCTTAGCTACAGCCTCGAGGCTGAGCCTCAGCCTCTGGGGGGGTTGCCGGGGTGGCTCTGCCGGGGAAGGGGGGGTGGGGGGGGGGGGTGCGAGTTTCCGGCGGATGCGTTTTTTGACACCCCTCACAAGGATCGTGGCCTCCGAGGGGGTTCCGAACTCGAGTACCACCCCTCCCGCACCAAGAGGCTCCGAGGAGGCCTCCAAGAGGCCCCAAGGGGCGCAGAAGAGGCCCCCAAGAAGCCCCAAGAGGCTCCCAAGAGACCCCCAAGAGGCCCTCTAGTGGCCCCAAGAGGCCCAAGAGGCCCCCAAGAAGCCCCAAGAGGCGCCCAAGAGGCCCCCAGAAGTCCCAGCCAACCACGAGATCCCAACCAGCATCCATGAGGCCTCTGACCCACCACCCACGCACGGTGGCGGGATAGGCCGACGGCCACTGGATCCGCCGCCCCCTGCTTGCAGGGGTGCACGGCGTGCTGGACGATTCAGTTTTGGTTTTGGTTCTTTTTCTAAAAGAACTCCCCAGTGGGCTTCGGCCCGTCCCGCCGGCCACCCGCGAATTTCCCAAAATCCGTCTGTCAATGCCCAAAAACGGCCGTTTCGCTCGGGACATCCTCAAAAAATCGCGAAGATGGCCCAAGATGGCCTCCAAGTCCGCCCGAGATGGTCCAAGACGGCCTCCAAAACGGCCCAAGAGAGTCCAAGACGGCCCAAGACGGCCCAAGAGGCCCCCCAGAGGCCTCCCAGACGGCCCAAGAGGCCTCCAAGAGGTCCTCCAGGAGAGTCCGAAGAGGCCAAAATCATTGATTTTCCCTTGGTTTTTGAAGGATTTTGGCATTTGCGCCTTTTCGGCTCTCCGACGGCTCAAGACGGCCCAAGAAGCCCCCAAGATCGCCCAAGAGGCCCCCAAGAGAGCCCCATGATGGCCCAAGTGGCCTCCAAGATGGCCCCTAGAGGGCCCCAAGAGGGCCCAAGAGGCCTCCAACACGCCCAAGATGGCCTCCCAGACGCCCAAGATGGCCTCCAAGACGGCCCTGGAGCATTCCAAGCGGGCCCCAAGTCGGCCCATAGAGGCCCCCCAAACGGCTTCCGACGGCTTCAGACGTGCCAGGAACCCACCAAGATGGCCGAAGTTGGCTCGAAGCTGGCCCGAGACGGCCCAAAAAGCCCCAAAGATCGCCCAAAGCTTGCCCAAGAGGCCTCCAAGACGGCCAAGATGACCTTCAAGATGCCCACGTGTTCCCCGAAGGCTTTCCAAACCGATTCGGGGAACACGTGGTCCGATAGCTTGGCAGGTCTGGCCTCAACGTTCGGCCACATAGGCGCTTCCAAAAAGGCAGGGGGCGGCGGTGATTCGCCGTAGGCGTCTTCGATAAATGCTGAGTGAGAGGAGGGGAGGGAAAAAGAGAGGAGGGACGAGGGCGAAGAAGGATCACATCAGTCGGAGCGCCCCGGATCGGCGGCACTGGCCGAAGGCCACTACGATATGGGAAGTGGGGGGGAAGACAAAAGCCCAGAAAATATTGGGAAAATATTGGAATCCTGTTATTTGTGTCTATTTATTTGTGTGTGTCCCAGGGCCCCTTCATTGGTGCTGGCCGGCCCCATCCTATGCGACCAGACGCTTCCGGAATGCACAGGGGGGCCGCGCCTGACTGGGCAACGCACGACGCAGAGAGTATTCAGGGTCGCCGTCGCGGTCGAGGCTGCCGGGCCGCAGCGAGCGACCCAGACGAGAAGCAGCTGCTTCTGTTCGTCGTCCCCGCCCCCTTCGTCTTCGGGCCGCTCCGTCGCGGGAGAACCCCGGGGCGGGCGGGCCCGGGCCAGGGTCGGTGAGGTGGTCGGCCGGCGCCCCCCGATCTTCGGGCCCCTGGACACGGGGGGCGCGCTCTGGTACTCCGGAGGGAAAAAGACACACAGAGGCACAATTCATCGCCGATTCCCCAGACCAAACATGGGAGAGTGTAGGAAAAGTGGGGGGGGAGGACAAGAACCCAGAGCACGTGAGAAGGTAGGAGGAAGCCTGTGATTCGTGTGTACTTCTCTGTGTTCCGGCGAAGGCATCTATATATATATATATATATATATATATATATATATACCACCACCGTGCCAGACCAGGGCCGTCCTGGGCCGCAGGATGGTGTATAGACCTGCCTGGCTCGGCCAGGAGGGCGCATACACCATCCTATAAGGCCCAGGATGGCCCTGGCCATGGCACGGTGGTGGTATATATAGATGCCTTCTGCGCATTTGTGCCCCTGGGCCCCTCGAGGTACGCCGACCGCGTGCTGTCCCAGTTCCTGGTGACCGCCGGGCCGGGCGCCGGGCCCCACGGCAGGCCTGCGCCGGCGGGCGGGCTCGCTCTCGTGCTCGGCTGCGGCGGCGTGCCGCTGTCGGCGCTCGTCGCCGCCGCCCTCGGCTGGAGCTCCGAGGGGGAAGCAGCAAAAGGGTTCGTTGCGAGGGCGCGAAGTGATTCGCGCTTCGCGGTCCTCGCTTCTTCTCCCCCTCCTCCTCGTCCTCCTTTGCTCCCCTTTGGGGGGGGCGGCGCGAGAGCGCGAGGTTGTGCGCGCTTCGCGGAGCGCGAAGCGCGAAGCGCGAAGTTGGGAGCCCTAGGGGAAGCCAGGTGCCAGTGCCTCTGCTCGTCCATGGGGGCCCTCGTCTGGAGTCGAGCGTGTCCCTCGAGAGGAGGAGTATCCGAGGATGGTGGGCTGCCGACGATTTGTCGACTATTTCTGACCGTGTTTTATCAGCTTTTCTCCATTCTCTAGCTTGCCTCCCAGATCCGCCTGTAGGAGGACATGCCTGACCTGACCCTCGTCGCCACGGTTGGGTTCTCCTCGAAATCCTGGCCAGAATGGACCCCAGGAGAGTCGGGCCGGGCGAAAGGGGGGGAATTGGGAAAGGGGGGGGTACGAAATTTGCTGCATGCAGCTGGTTTCGGCCTCACCGAGGGGCCCATTCCTCGATACATAGCCGCCTCCGGCGCCGGGAGGCGCCGGGAAAATCAGCTACGTGAGCTGATTCTCAAACCCCCACTTTGCTATCCCCCCCTTTCGCCCGACCCCAGGAGAGGTCCAGGGAGTAGAGGTATCGACGCGCGCTCGCCGACTCCACGGCACGTTGTTCGTCAGGGGCGCCAGCTCCGCGGACGTCGTTCTCCACCGGCGGTTTCTCTTCGCACCCTCTGCGCCGCTCAGTCTGCACCAGGACTAGATTCGGTCAATCTGGCAAGCGCGACTTGGGCTCTCTGGATGAAACATATATGGAAAATCTTGGGGGACAATTCCACATTGTATCTGGGCGTTCACAGAATCTCTGGAAAATTTACTGGCTCTAAAATCTACGGGGAAATCCCCGGGGAAATCTGGAAAATCTCCAGTCTTTACAAGCACACGGGAACTCTCTGGAACATCTCCGAAAAAATTCTGGCTAATCTCTAGCGTACAGAATCTCCAGAAAATCTGCGGCAAACCTCCCGCAAATCTCTTGCGGGCAGAGTCTCCAGAAAATCTCCGGACAGTCTCCTGGGGCGATTTTGTTTGAGTTTTCTCAGGTGCGAAGATTCATTGGAAGATTTCTAGGCGCGAAGATTATTTTGATATTCACCATAATATGTTGTGACGATTGGAGATTCAGTGGAATTCGCGGGAAGGTTGTTTGGAGATTCCAGTGCGGTCGTGTTTGCCATAATCGACCCATCCTAACACTAGGATGGTTAGATTGATTGTATGGTTGCATTGCACGCTCTCTTGTTTTTATTGCAGAGAAAGTTCAAATGCTGCGAGCTCCGTCGCTTAGAGTCTGGCAAACGTAAAAGTAGCGGTAGCGGAACCTTTTTTGTCCTCCAAGGAGCGTGGTTATGACCGATCTGGAGCCAGTCATCGAGCTCACGCGCACCAACGTGCGCCGCGCCGAGGGCGCGGTGCAGGCGGAGCGGGACAGGCTGGCTTGCACGCGGCCCGCGGAGATGGCGGTGCGGGAGCTGTATTTCGGAGACGAGCCGGCCCTGGACGAGGCCCTTTCTGCCGCGGGGGCCGTCGGCGAGGGTGCGCCGCTGCTGGTTCTGTGCTCCGATTGCATCTGGCGCGAGTTCCTGCACCGGCCCCTGCTCTGCACCGTGGCCGCCGCGCTGGGCAAGGCCTCCGGCGCCGCCGAAGCGCTGTTCTGTTTCCAGACCAGGTCGCCGCAGAACGAGGCGATGTTCCTGAAGGTGCTCAAGGAGGAGTTCGGCTGCCTGGAGACAGAGGCCGTCGACGCTTCCGAGGCGCTCTCACAGGTGCTGTGGCCAGCCCAGGTGCAGCACAGCGTGGGGCAGATGAGGGACCTGCCGAAGAACTTCCCGCTCCTCCGGCTGACGCTGCGGGAGGGCGCGGTGCCGCCACGGCTCGGTGCGCCGCAGGAGCTCGCCGCCGGCAGGAAGCCTTGGTGGTCCTGACCCGCTCGGGACAGCAACCGCCTGGCAGCTCCGCGCACGCGTCGGGCGCAGCGCGGGCGCCGTGCTGCCAGACGGAGCAGGCAAAACAATGTGTGTATATATATATATATATATATATATATATATATATATATATATACACATATAATGTCCTTCGGCCCATCCCGCCACCGTGCCTGGGTTGTGGGTATGAAGCCTGTTTGATGTTCCTTGGGATCTCGTGTGGGGCTTCTCCAGGGCCTCTTGGAGGCAGTTTGGATGCCTCTTGGTGGGGCCTCTCAGAGCCTCTTTTGGGTCTCTTGGGGACCTCTTGGGGCCTCTTGATGGCCTCTTGGGGGCCTCTTGGGCGTCTCTTGGGGCCACCTGGGCGCCTCTTGGGGCGGAAGGCTCAGATCTTCGGTTCGTGCTCCCCCTTTTGGGCCCCTCTTGGAGCCGTCTTGGAGGCCTCTTGTTCCGTCTTGGAGGCCTCTTGGGTGGTGTCAGGAGCCTCTTGGGCCGTCTTGGGGCGATCTTAGGGGCCTGTTGGGCCGTTTGGGGGCGTCGGGGAGCCAAAAAAGGCGAGAACATTGAAAACCGACGGAACAGCTATGTCTCGGGAGGCGTCTTGAACCTCTCCTGAGGCGTCTTGGAGGCCTCTTCGGCCCTCTGAGTAGGAGTAGGAGTAGGAGTAGGAGTAGGAGTAGGAGTAGGAGTAGGAGTAGGAGTAGGAGTAGGAGTAGGAGTAGGAGTAGGAGTAGAAGTGGCCATCTTGGGCGACTCGGGGCGGCCCTTCGGCGACGCGGGGCCCCTCCGAGGCGCCGTCGCGCCTCCCCGCGTGCCCCTCGAGGCCCGTCTTGGGGCCCGCCTTGGGGCCCTCTCGGGCCCCCCAAGCTCACGCGACGAGACGCAGGGGAGCGCAGTGGAACAGCGGCAGGACCCCGAGAAGCCGGGAATGTGGGGTCCGAGCCCCTTCGGGAGCCTCGAGACGGGGGTCAGTGCAGACGGGGGTCAGCCAGAGCGCCGGCATCCTGCAGGATCCTGCAGCGCCAGGGTCGCATCGACCCGGGTTTTGGTGCAGGATCCTGCAGGGTCCTGCAGGATCCTTCGCATTGACCCGGGTTTGGGTGCAGGATCTTGCAGGATTTTGCAGGCCTGATTGACCCGGGTCTGGATTGACCCGGGTCAGAAGATCCCCGGCCCTTTAATGACTCCTCAAGGGTGAGGACTGAGGCATAGTGGGACAGTGAGATGCCTGAGGATGCGCCCACTCCGTGCCCATCGGCATGTATGCTTTTACCCACATCCGAAGCGGGGTTCTTGGTTTCCCTGCCCACCCTCCGCGCAGGATCTCTCCTCCTCCTCCCCCCATCTCTCTCTCTCTCTTTCTCTCTCTCGCTCTCTCTTCTCCCTTCGTATGCTCACTTAATCACTCAACGCCATCATCACTCACACTCACCCACCCACCCACCCACTCACGCACGCTTTCATCACCATCGTCGTCATCACTCGCACACTCACTCATTCACACACTCATCATCATCACTCACTCGCCCACTCAGCCACCCACCTACGCACCCACTCATTTACTCATCATCATCACCATCATCATCATCATCATCATCATCATCATCATCATCATCATCATTATCATCATCGTCATCCTCAGTCACTCACCCACTGATTCACTCACCCGCTCACTCACACCCACACTTGCTGAAGTATCAGGCGGGAGCCTCGTCTGTGAGTGAATTGCGAGGACTTCTCAAGCGGGAGCCCCCTCCCTATGGGGCTCGCAGCTCATGTGAGTAATCCGAGCGGGTCATCGGTCATCGGGATCCTGTGAGTGGTGTCACTTTTGGGCTCCTGATGCCTGAATGTGGAGGAGTATAAGGCGGGAGCCTCGTCTGTGAGTGAATTGCGAGGACGTCTCAGGCGGGAGCCCCCTCTCTATGGGACCCGCACCTCACGTGTTTTCTCCAGGTCGCCCTCTGGCGCGCGCTTCCTCTGGGTCGTCCTCTGGCGCGTAGCCGCTGGGACGCACGTCGTGCGTTTCCTCTAGGTCGTGTTCCGCACGAGGAGGAGGAGGAGGAGGAGGAGGAGGAGGAGGAGGAGGAGGAGGAGGAGGAGGAGAGTGGATACAGAACGAGAAAGAGAAGGAGGAAGAGGAGGGGGAGGAGGCAGAGGGGGAACAGGACGAATAATATTAATATGGGTCCTGCCGTTTCTCCCCTGCGAAAAAGCGCAGAGTTTCTGGCATGAGGTCTTCGACTCCGCTTCCACGATTGACGACGTTTTTGGGAGTGTATTAGTGTTGCGGGGGTCTTCGACCCACCAATTTTCTTGGCCAGGACCCATATATAGACACGTACATGCATACACGTGTTTACCGTCTTGTGCTACCCAAGTTTTATTCGGAGTCCTGGCAGAGTCCCCCATTTGGTGCACCCACTCTCCCAGTGCACTGGTGTTGCTTGTGTGGGGGGGTCGGAAATAAACAAATAAATTTATCTCGACGGTAGGACCCCACATGAGAATTTGTCGAGCTTGCCCTTAGCCCTGTCCTCCCCGCCCTGGCGGACACCTCCTCTCGACCTCTGCTCTGGCCTCTCTTCCTCCTTTTTCTATTTCTCCCCTCCTCCTCCTCCTCCTCCTCCTTCTCCTCCTCCTCCCTCTCATCCTCCTCCTCCTTCTCCACCTCCTCACCATCGCCCTCCCCCATATCCCTCCTCGTCCTCCTGCCTCTTCCACATGTGCACCTCCCCGTCCCCCTGGTCGTGGCAAGCAAATCGATGTTTTTCGGCGCCGTCGCCGCCTCGGCCAGCGCGCGCGTTCTCGCCGACGGCTGGATCGCGAAGCCTTTGGGGCAACCCCGCGGGCCATGCCTTTGGGGCAACCCCGCGGGCCGCTGGGCCGCTTGGGCAGGCCGTCGGGACAACCCCGCGGGCCAGGCCGTCGGGACAACCCCGCAGGCCTCGAGGTAGGCGCGGCCGCGCTCAGGAGGAGAGCAACGCGAAGCCCAGCCGTGCTGCGAGCTGCTCCGCCTCATCCCTGGAGGTCTTCGCTTTACCATTGAACTTGTTGAGCGCCTTGCGCGAGGACGCCGGCGGCCTGCGCTCCAGAAACTCGCGCGAGGGCGGCCGCGGGATCAGCGTGTTCCACATGCACGTGGCGCGGGAGGACACGACGTAGATGTGCAGCCACCATTGCTCTTCCGACATGCCCGTGCGGCCAGCGTCCTCGCCCCTCGCGCAGTCGATGGTGACGCCCGTGCACAGCGTTTGGCCCTGCGACAGCGTGGAGGTGAGGTACGGCGCGTGCGTCAGGGTGAACCCCGAGCGGCGCACAACGTGCGGTCCCGAGCTCTGCCACGTGAGCTCCTGCTTGCTGGGCCTGATCATGAGCGAGCTCCTCGCCCGCGCCTCGGCCTCGCCGTCGTCGTCGGCGCCTTCGGCGCCCTGTCGCAGCAGTCCGGCAACTTCCTGGTAGATCGGGGACTCTTTGAAGCCGCGCACGTGCAGCCAGATTCCTTGCGGCAGGCAGCGGGGGCGAAAGAGCTGGCCAGGCGCGCATTCTTCGCACTCCGAGTGAAGCCCGAGGAGCCCAAAAGGGACGACAGTTACAGGATTCGCGTGACCCTGCTCGGATAACCAACAGAACGCGGGCCCCATAAGGAGGGGGTTCCCGCCTGAGACTGCTTCACAATCTACTCACTGACGAGGCCCCCGCTCGGCGCCCAAAAGTGACGACAGTTGCAGGGTTCCGATAGCCCGCTCGGAGGCCATCAGTGACGACAGGTACAGGATTCGGGTGGCCCGCTTGGATTACCAACGTGAAGCGCGGGCCAAACAAAAACACGGGGGGGCCGCCTGAAACTTTTTTCAATGCGCTCACAAACGAGACTCCCGCTCAAGACTTCCTCCATTTTCAGGCCAGGCGGGGGCAAATGATTACAATATTTGCAGGGTTCCGATGACCCGCTCGGATTACCCATCTGAAACGCGGGCTCCATACGGAGGGGGCTCCCGCTTGAGATTTCTTCACAATTCATTCACAGACGAGGCTCCTGCCAGATAGTTTTTCAATTTTCGGACCTGCGGAAACCAAGCATGACGACAGTTGCAAAGATCCGATGGCCCGCTCCGATGAGTATCGTGAGTTGTTGGTCCCATTGGTAGGGGGCTCCCGCCTGAGAGTTCCTCGCGATTCAATCACCGCGATGCTTCCGCCCGTGACTTCCTCCATATTCAGGCCTGGGCAGGCCAACGATGACGACTGATACAAGATTCCGATGCCCCATTCGGGTTGCCAATCCGGAATGCGGGCCCCATAGGGGGGGCTCCTGCATGAGACTTCCTCGCAATTCACCCAGTGGTAGTTATGAGTGAGTGAGTGAACCATTCAGGAGAAGTGAGTGAGGGAGTGAATGGGGTAGTGACTGAATAAGTTATGAGCGAATGAGCGTGGTCGAGGGAATGGTAGTGAGCGTGTGAGTGATGATGATAATAATGATGATTACGATGATGATGATGATGATGATGATGATGATGATGGTGATGATGATGATGGTGATGATGATGGTGTGGTGGTGGTGATAAAGAGGATGATGCTGATGATAATGATGATGATAATGATGATGATGATGATGATGATGATGATGATGATGATGATGATGATGATGATGATGATGATGATGATGATGTACGTGTGTGAGTGTGTGAGAGCAGGTGAGTGTGTGAGTGAGTGGCGGGGAAGAGGGGGAGTAGATCTCACGCGGGGGGTGCGGAGAAAACAGGAATGCCATGTAGGATGTGGAAAACAACAATTTGCCTTGGCGACGGGCCAAGAGTACCGCAAGTGTGAACATCTTCTTCGGTGGAGCTCCCTATGGGGCCAGCACTGGGCGGGGGGGGACGCATGCGGGCGCCAGCGCTGGGGCCGTCGGTGAAGCTCCGTATGGGGCCACGTAGCGCTATACTTGTTGGGGGTGGGCGCATGCGGGTGGTAGCGCTAGGACCTTCGGT